TTTGGTCTGTTCACACCTGTTATGTATGAGGGGTGAAGCCTTAGGTTTTCACCAGGGTGGGGCAACCCAAGTCTCTGGGTTGTGATGCTATATGTGGGGGTGGGGTCAGAGAGGGAGCAATGGCACTTTGCTCCACTCTGTTGCACCTCAATCCCTTCTGTCATTTCCCCCAAGCAAACTGGGCCTTTCTGGTGCTGATTCCCATGTAGGTGGGCTTGTGTGCATTCTAGGACCCTCTGGGTCCCTCCAACAAACTCTCCTGTGAGGCTAGGAGTCTCTCCCTGTGTCTCAACCCACACAGGTATTTTCAATCAGTGTTTTGAGGCTTTATTTTCCAGCACTAGGACCATGGGTTGCACGATCTGTCTTGCTCCTCTGTTATCTACACGCAAATCTGGGACCACTGCCTGGTCAGACAGCCACCTTGCGCACAGTGCCCCACTTCTCAGTCGCCACTTCACTGGGTCTGCCCGTTGCCACCCCACACCCTGGGTCTGCCAGCCTCTGCCTGGGCACCCAGGGTCTTCCTGGTGCCATCTGCACACCCTGGGTGCCTTGCACACCATGGCGTCACCACTTCCTGTGCCGCGACCCCTCTCCGCTTGGCCGCCCAACTCCGCTCCACCTGCTGCCTGGATGAATGTGTCTGTTTTAACTCATTGGTTGTCGGACTTCCATACAGTTCAATTTTCTCTCAGTTTTGGTTGTTATTTTGTTTCTAAATGTTGTTGTCCTTATTTTGGTTGTTTGAGGAGGCACAGTATGTCTACCTACACCTCCATCTTGGCCAGAAGTCTGCTTTTTCCATTTTTATTCAACAGAGTTTAGTGCTAGAAGTTCTAGCTAGTGTAACATGGCAAGAAAGGAGATAAAAGACACATAGATCAAAAAGGAAGAACTAAAAAATATCTCTATTTGCAGATGATATAATTTTGCAGAAAATCCCAAGGAATCTACAAAAAATCTAGAACCAATAAGTGAGTTCAGCAAAATCACAGGACACAAGTAAATAAATAAAGAAAATAATATTTATGTTTCTATACTAGCAATAAATATGTGGACACTGTATTTTATTGAATTAAAATACAATACTATTTGTAATCATGCAGGGAAAAGGAAATACTTAGAAGTAAACCTAACAAAACTTTTATGACTTGTACATTAAGGACTACACAATGCTATTGAAAGAAATAGATGAAGGTATGAATAAATATACTGTGTGTATAGATAGGAAGATTTGATGTCATAAAGATGTAAGTGCTCCCCAAATTGATATACATGTAATGCCACTCCTATAAAAAAACCCATCAAGATATTTTGTAGACATAGACAAGATTATTCTAAATTCATATGGAGAGGCAAAGGAACTAGAATAGCTAAAACAAATTTTAAAAAAGAATAAAGTGAGAAGAATCACTCTAGTAGCTTTCAAGACTTACATAATACATTAATCAAGGCTGTTTGGTATTGGTGGAAGAATAGACACATGAAACAATAGAATGGAACAGAGAACCCAGAAATGGCCACACACAAATGTACACGATTGATTTTTGACAAAGATGCAAAAGCAATTCAGTGGAGAAAAGAGCATTTTCATCCAATGGTGCTAGATGCTGAGGTCAAATAAATAAATAAACCTCAAAAGTCCCAGGCCTTTTACAAAAATTAACACAAAATAGACTTGCAGACTTAAGTGTAAAGTGTAAAACCATACAGCTTTTAGGGAAAAACAGGAGAAAAATTTCAGGACCTAGGGTTAGGCAAAGAGTTCTTACACTTGATACCAAAACCACAATTCATTAAAAAAATGATAAATTGAACTTCATTAAAATGAAAAACCATTGCTCTGCAAAGGACCCTGTTAAAAAGATGAAAGGAAAAGGTATCAGGTGGAAAAAATAGTAAAAAACCACACACTCTGTCTAAGGAGTAGTGTCTAGAATATATAAATAACTCTTAAATCCCAACAGTAGAAAAACAATCCAGTTAGAAAACTGGCAAAAGACATGAAGAGGATATAGAGATGGCAGATAAGCATATGAAAACCTAATGATGTTCAACTTCATTAGCCATTAGGGAAATGCAAATTAAAAATATCTAGCAGAATGGCTAAAATAAAAAATAGTGCTCATACCCAGTGCTGGCAAGGATGAAAAAAACTGGGCCCTTCAGACCTGGGGGTGGGACTGTGGGGGGGACCCCAAAAAACAGAATTTATTTATTAAAAAATTGTGTATTCATTCTTACATGTTTAAACTTCAGTCACCCTCCAAGTACTCTCTATTTGATGCAATACACATATTGAGACTTTTTTTTTCCCACTGCTCAAAACAGTTTTTGGACACATCACTTTTGATGCCTTTTATTGCTTCTGCCATTTTTTGTTTCATCTTTTCCACATAGGCAAAATATTTCCCTTTGAGGACTTTTTTCATTTGGGAAACAAACAGTCTTTGAGGGTGAGATGGGTTGAATGGGGAAGGTGGGGCATGGGGGTCATGTCATTTTTGGTCAAAAACTGCTGAACACTCAGTGAGATGTGGGCATGTGTGCTTGTAAATCACCCATCATGAAACAGGCAAATGGGTTGAAAGAGTCTTCAAAAAAAAAAATTCACTGAAGCTGAATGCTGCCTCTCACAACAATGCCAGCTGCTACACTGTATAAATGGCTTTCTGGAACACTCACCTAGTGGGGAAGCCTATACTACAAAGGGCAGGCCCTGCAGAAGATAATTCTGGGGTTGTTTTGGTGAAATATGATGGTGCATATGATGGTGCAGCTACTCTGGAAAACAACATGAAAGTTTCTTAAAAAGTGAAATGTGCCCAGCAATTGGATTTCTGAAAATTTATCACAGAGAAACAAAGACTTGTGTCCACAGAGAAACTTGTACATCAATGAGCATATTTTTTGTAGAAGCCCCAAACTGGAAACAGCTTCATGTCCTTCAATGAATGAAAAGTTAGACAAATTGTTAAACCATAGAATATTACTCAGTAATAAAAAGAAATGACTCTTGGTGCATACAATGACCTAGATGAACCTCCAGAGAACTATGTTGAGAGGAAAAATATCCAATCCATAAAATGCTAGAAGTGATGAACAGATAAGTTGTTGCCAGGGGTTAGGAGGTATGTGGTGGGTAAGGATGGGTCAGGAGGGGATGGTTAGGAAGGAAAGGGCAACATGAGGGGTTCTTATGGTGATGGCATGTTCAGTATCTTGACTGTACCAATATCAATATCATGGTTGAGATCTTGTTATTATCATTTTATGAGATGCTACCATTAGGAGAAACTGTGCAAAGAGCACATGGGACCTCTGTGTTGTTTCTTACACCTGCATGTGTATCTAAAATCTCAAAATGACAAATTTAATTCTTTAAAAATGAGCATTTATAAGACAACTGGGGAATTATGAACACTGAATTTTTTTTTAGTGGGTTGGTGGCATTGTGCTTTAGTTTTGAAAAGTTAGTGTATACTCCTGGAACACCCATATTGAAATATTTACAAATGAAATGCCTGGAATTTTCTTTTAGGTAATCCAGACCGGGGAATGGGAAGGTGAGGTGAGAAAGTGAAAAGACATAAATAGATCCTTGTTGGGGCTGAATAACAGGTGTGTGGGATTTCTTAACATTGCACATTACATGTGTTCTCAAGCACGGAGCTGTGGGCATTGGTACAATGGGGTAGTTAAGCCACTGACTTTAAGACTATTGGAACTGGTTTGAATCTTGGCTCCGCTACTTATTAGTTACGAAACCTTGGGCAAGTTACCCAACCTCTCTGAGCCCAATGTTCTCATCTGTAAAGTGGGGGTAATATCTCATAAGGGACAGTGTCCAGTGAGGAAAGGAAATATCATCAGCACAAGGGACTGAGAGAGGGAGAGAAGATAGTACAGGAGCCCGAGGGGGAGGTACAGGTGGAGATCCAAGTTAAGTTGGGCAGTGTCTCAGAATCTAGATAAAGATCTCAAGGAGTTTTAAAACTATGACAACAGAGAAGAAGCAATTAGGTTTGTGCTCAGAGCATCATCGTGCCAATAATGGCTTGGTTTTAGGGGGGAGTGTGGTGAGAAGCAGGTGGGAGAGTACTAGGAGCACATGTGGCCATACTCTCAGACCTTGACAGGATGGTGCAGAGGCAGCTCCAGAGGGAAGGTGCATTTAGGGAGGTTAAAGAGCAAAAAGGAGGGACTAGCAGGGCTGTCATGAGGGGACCAGGAGTCCCAAGAGCGTGGTAGAAAGGAATTCCCTTTTCTGTTTAGATTAGGGGTGCTACCAAAGCTATTTTATCCACCCTGATATTTTCCTCCTTCCTGTTCACAGGCTTCATCTGATACCCATTCAAACAGCCATTTAAAAAGAAAGAACATGGTAAGATAATCAGAAATTACCAGTGCTGACTAGATTTTTTAGTGTGATAGAATCATGAGACTGTTGAGTCCTCATGTAATATTCATTATTCATTAAGTGTCCCTATGCATAGTGTTTGCTAGCTATGTCAGTTGCATGGGTGCGTTTATTATTATTACTCCACAATGACCAGTCTGGGACTGATTCACTGACACCCACACTGTGTTCAACCTGGATATTCCTAGGAAGGAAGTTTTCTCTATCTATGGGAGTAAAGCTGTGGGTATTTTTCTCAACCACCATGGCTGAAGGTAATGAGTTTTTTGAGGCAAGCTTTGTTAGCTGCTGAACATCTGAAAACTTCCCCAACCTCCTCCTATCCAGGTTGCACTGACCCAGAGGATATCCTCCACATGCTAAAGCAGCAAACCCCTCTCTGAGTGGAGGACTGAGTGGGCCGCTGATCTTGGTCTCTGCTCATTTTATGTGAGGAGGCAAGAGACTCCGACGAACTTAGGGGCAACTCCACCCACAGAACTGCAGCTAACCTGGCGAGAGTAGCCCACCCACTTGTCATACCACTGAGAAGGACAGCATGGTGGCCCAAATGAGACAGAAATCCAGAAGGCACAGAAAGGCTTAAACAGTGGGGCTCATCTTTATTGAGGGGAGCTCACAACTCCTGCAAATGGGCTGGTTTTAAAAAGCTTCCCATTTCCATACAGTTCTGTCTACATTCAGAAAGCCATGAAACATATTGTACAATGAACACTTTCCACCTGCAAAGCATCAAGATAGTTCATAAACTTGTCAATATATAATGCAAAACACTATTTACAACAAGATACAGTAATTTCAAAATTTAGATTCTGATTATATAATTCTAAAACTAACATTGTATGTTTTTCCAGGTAAGGAAGACTGGTCATTATAAAAATATATAAATTTAAAGTCAGGACTAAAACATTCAACCCTATAAAAATATCTTTTACTAATAAAAGTTTCAATTTCTAGATAAACATTCTTTTTCAAAAGAGTGACAATCTTAAATTCTCAAGAAATACCCACTATGTCAGATGGTCCATTTAAAAGACATGTGAAAGGAACTTCAAGGCACAGCTGTCAACTTGTCTTAGTTTTCAGAGATGACCACATATGTGATCATGCTGTATATTAGTGGCAAAATTATTCTATAAGACATTAAGTCCAGGATCTATCTATTATGAAAGATATTTATAAAGACAAAGTCTCTAGCTTAGAGAGAGGGTCCTTAGGAGCAGACACCAATTTTGTTAGGATCTGGCTACATTGCACTTTGACATGTCTAACTGGGAAAACCACTAGTTATATTTTGACCACTATCTGAAATCAGCTCATTCATTTCATTTTGCTTACTCTCCTTTAGGGCGTGATTGGGGTGGTTTCTTTGTGTCTGGGCTTTTTTTGATCTGAAACACACTTTCAGCAGAAGGTAGCACAACTCCGCCACATTGAGTAGCATGCAAATCACAGAGGCAGAGATCATAAAAATGGTGAACACAGTTTTCTCCGTTGGTCTAGAGATAAAGCAGTCCACGAGGTTGGGGCAAGGATCAATCCCACACTTCAATACCCAGGGCAGGTGGTACCCGTTGTACAGGAAGTAAAACACGTACATAAAGGAGGCTTCAAAGATGATTCGGAAAAAGATGCTGCTGGTGTACGTCCACCACAGGGCTCCCTCAATCCGAACCTTCTGCTTCTTAATGTCTTCCAAGTCTTTGAATTCATTTCTCTTCTCTCCTCGTCTGAATTTGCGGGCAGCCTCATGTCGGTAGTAGGCAACGTGCATTGCCACAAGTAGGGCAGGGGTGGAGACAAAGATGAGTTGCAGAGCCCAGAGCCGGATGTGGGACACTGGGAAAAAGTGGTCATAGCACACATTTTTGCACCCTGGTTGCAGAGTGTTGCAGACAAAGTCTTCCTGCTCATCTCCCCACACTTCCTGAGCAGCCACCACAAGGATCATGACACGAAAGATGAAGATGACGGTGATCCACACCTTCCCAATGCTGGTGGAGTGTTTGTTCACACCCCCGATGAAAGTGTGCAGGGTACCCCAATCCATTGTGTTGGTTTATTCCTAAACAAGGATTAGCAAAGGAAAATTAATTGAAATTTCCTTTGAATTTTATACAACAGTAATTATATTAAAAACTGAAGCAAATTTTGCTTACTGCAGGTAGGAGACTTTCTGGTAAGGACTGCCCAACCTAAAGAATTCAAAGGTTTTTGACCAGAGATAACTTTTGGGGGGATTTAAGATCATCTTCATTCAGATGAATTCAGAGTATATAATAGATCACTATTTGACATGAATGCAGGAATTCAGGTGATTCATATTCTTTCCTCAGTTCCTGTTGAATCACTGTGTGAATGCATGTCACATTAATTTCTCTTTGCCCAGAGATCACAGAGGGTCCACAGAAGGTTTTAGTGATCAAATGGCTTATCCAAGAAAAAAAATTCATCAGAATCAAATAATCTGGTTTACCTGGCAGACTAAGAAGGAAAAGTAAGAAACCAAATACTTACTGGTTTACTTTACAAAATATATTTATATCTATTTCTAGCTTGAGTAACATTATTTTCTGTCATCATGGGCTCTTAGAAACCTAATACCATACCTATGGAAAGATCCTCTTCCAAAAGAGAGTCATAGCCTTCACTTGTTCTCCCTCGTAACCAGGCAGTGATAGCCTTCCCTTCCAGCAGATATCAACACTCAGGAATTGCAGTGAAAGACCCACACTATTGCAAAACGGAGCCTCACTCTCTCTCAGCAACCTGATTTAATGTCCTGTAAGAAAAGGACTTCTTGATGTCCACAGAAACTTTTGCTACAGTTCAAACAGATACTTTCCACATTGCCACACAAGACTAAAAAGCTGGTCAGTCATCTTCTTTTAAAAAGAAGATGAATAATGAACACTGAGATTCTTCTGAAAGTGAAAGGTCCTCTCCCCAAAAGAATCAGTTCATACAATATGTCATACCCTTTTAGGGGAGGAGGGAGTCAACAAAGTCCTTTTGTCAACCCATCCTGGACTGCCTTGAATGCATGTGGAGCACACTGTGGCCAGGCTGCTTCCTAGGCTGACCCCCTCACCCATCATGGGTTTGCTAACAGTCTCCATCAGACATAGTGCATCTTAGTGTCAAAATGATGTTTCAGATGCCTCTCATGTCATCAGTAAGTTAGCTGTCTTTCCACGATTCCTTTAATAACTATACCCTAACATTTTACTTAAGGAGTATTTGTATCCCTTAGAAGGAATATCCTTACAAGCAGGATATTCATGCCATACAACACAAGGTTAGGCAGGAAGAGGTGATTAGCATGTCCGCTCCCTGGGGGCCCATTTCTGAAGTGTCGCACCTATGCATGTCACATCAAGAAAGACACTGTCAGGCTGATGACCTGCCAGAGTGTGGCCAGGTAGCAGAGCCTGGAAGGACTCTTGCAGGAGGGGACACTGAGGGCTCTGGAGCAGTTCAGCTGGAGGACAGCCTGGAGGCACATGGCAGCTGAGGGGGGATTGTTGAATGAAGAACTGAATCCAGAGAGACAGGCTTTTTTTCTTTTTCAATTACAGTTGACATTCAGTATTATTTTATATTCGCTTCAGGTGTATAGGATAGTGGTTAGATGTTTATGTAATTTAGTAAGTGATTCCCCTGATAGGTCTAGTGCCCAGCTGGCACCGGATATAGTTATTACAAATTATTGACTATATTCTCTTCTCTGTTCTATACTTTACACCCCCATGACTTGTATATTTTATAACTGGAACTTTGTTGCCTCTTAATCTTTTTCATCTATTTTGACTGCCCCTCAACCTCTCTCCATTCTGGAAACCACTGGGTTGATCTCTATATCTGTGAATCCATTTCTGTTTTGTATGTTTATTTATTTTGTTCTTTAGATTCCACATATAAGTAAAATTATATGATACTTGTCTTCCTCTGTCTGACTTATTTGAATTACCATAAACACCCTCTAGGTCCATTCATGTTGCAAATGGTATGATTTCATTTTTTATGACTGAGTAATATTCCATTGTAAATATATACCTTGACTTCTTCATTCATCTGTCAATAGACATTTAGGTTGCTACCATATCTTGGCTCTTATAAATTAAAATTAGAATTACCTTATGACCCAGCAATTCCACTTCAGAGTATTTATCTGAAGAAATCCAATTCAAAAAGATATATGCACCCCTGTGTTCATTGCAGCATTATTTGCAATAGCTAAGATATGGGGGAGGTTTTCCTTTTTTTAAAAAAAAAAAAAGAAAAGAAAAAGCTGAGGAAAATGAAATCATTACATGATAAAGTAGGTACAGCTCTTAGACATGAATTCTTTGAAGCTGTGGTGCTCATCCCTAAAACACTGGCTCAGAGGCCCTGCAAGCACTGCCAGGGCTCAGCAGTGGGCTCCCTGAGGAGGCATGGCCTCGGGCTCTACAGTGAAGCCCGGCCTTCACACGCCACTTATCTCACGGCTTAAGAGATGGTCAATGTTCACATTAAACTTTGATTTAAAAGATTCATTTTAGACGATATGGATTGTACAACTAATGTTTAGTTTCCTATAAAAGTCATTATAATACATTTTTCTACTCTGGAAGCCTTTCAAGATTTGGGAAGGTAGAATCATGTATCATGATGTTTCAGCATATTTTACAGTGGCAGTTCCCCCTAGGAGGCCAATCCTGTTTATATTTAAAATGAGATGTTCTCTAATTAACCATTAAACATTTCCCCCTGAGAGTTTGGTTACTTATTCAGTCTATCAAAGAAAAGTCACATTTTCTCAAAACCTCCAAAGTGCACAAAATGTAAACTACCCCACAAGTTTTTTTAAAGACTGTTTCTCTCTGGGTTCTCTATCACCTGCCTGAGCAATAGCACACCTGCTGTCACCTGTTATCTCTCCTACTTAGGAAGCAAACCAGTCAAGCTGCCTGAATGAGGATAAAGCCAGGGGCTGAGGTCAGCAGGTCACAATTCCCCCCATAAGAATATGTTCCTACTTTCTACAAGCAGGATCCTTGACTTCTGCTCTTTGGGGCTTCTCCTTCTTAAAAAACCAGGAATAACAGGGACAGTAGTAGTTTTCTTTCTTTTTTACTTCTCTGGGTCCGTAAATCATATACTTTGAAGATGTTCTCCCAAAGAGCAAAGATGAACAGAAAATAATCTGTTCTACAGCACTTAGTGAGTTTGAAATCAGCAATTTATCTGCACCTTTAAAGGAAGGAAAAGAAATGAAATGCCCAGATCACTATGAAAATGAGTGATCAAGACAATCGATTGGGTGAAAACAAATCACCTGACTCGAGGTATCTTCCTGCAGGATCTACCAAGGCCCTATTACCTGTCATGGTAGGAGTGACTGGAAAAGGAAGAACTGTTTTCCAGAGTCTCATCACTCTCCTGCTCTCAGTGAATGTGTGCCAGTGTTTCTTACAGTGAAGCCCTCTCTTTCATTATTTTGCTCAGTCCTCATCATTGCTGAGGGCTTCCCAAGAAGCCAGGCATCTGCCCTGCATGTCACCCTCCCAGTGAATGCTACGAGCAGGAGGAGAGCTCCTCACCCATGGTTAGGAGGAGGGTCCGGGGCATGGCCCTGACACAAGGCTGCATTCACAGGCAAGTCCTGCTGCCCGCTGGACATTCTGCCTGTTCCCAACAGGCCGTCAGAGAGCAGAAGATTCTGCAACTTTAAAAGGAAGCCCTGACTGCGCTTGCCTTTCCTGCCCTGTCCCTGGGTGGGCGAGGCCACCCTGCTGGGGGAGCTGGGGCACCCCACTGGCCCTCAACCTCCCCCTGAGGTGAGCCGTCATAAACAGAGTGGTTATAGGACATTTGAAGGCCTCATACTCTTTGAGAACTACTTTCCAAACTATCGACACCCATTGGGGGACCCTTGCCATTGGTATCAATGAACAAATACCTCTTCCCTTTTAGGCTTTAGGCAGGCTGGTGGCAGGGCAGCCACTAGGAGCAGCTTTTCCAGTAAAAAAGAAAATATTAACCCTCTCCCTGTAAATCAGAGAGGTTTGACTGGCTCCTTTCTGGTTCTCTTTTAAGGAAAGAATAGATATACTTAGCTTCTATAGTCACCAACGTATGAGAATGTAGTCCCATTCAAATGTACTAAGGTACACTGGATTCGGATTTGCAGTACATCTAACTATCCATAGTGCATTCTTGGTACCAAAGCTCCAGTCCCAAATATTTACCTCTAAAAACAAGTCAATCATTGACCTTATTTCTGATGATACACACAGTATTATGAAGATTGACTGTTCTTCTGTTTCACAATTCAAAGAATTTAAGTATCAACATTCTGTTTCAGTAATGAAATGACTTGATTGTTTTAAAATTTCTTATTTAAGAATTTAATCATAACTAGTTTGCTTGATAATGGCATTTTAGTTACCCTGATGACAGAACCAAAACTGAAGCCCTGAACACCAGTGTCACCCCAGCACACACCAGGATGACCCTTTCAAAGTCAGTCAGCAAATATTTGATAGACTGAGAACAGAACACACTCCTCACAATTCGCATGTTCGTTTAGAGAGTTGAGAAGTTGGAATTGATAAAGGCAGTGACGACACACCTGAGCCTCATTCCCCAGCCTCCCAGCCTGTCAGCCAGAGGAGAACCAGGGCAAGGCTCCCTCTTCTCAGCACGGGCTTTCTCCTTCTACATCATGTGATTGCCTAGAAGCCAATGTGACACCGTAACAACATGAATATAAACCATTGTGCGGCTTCTGGATGTAGGTGAGGATGTTACCTGTTGAGGGGAAAACAGTGCATGTGGCCATTTTCCCTTAACTCCTCCTGCATGTCTACTGCATGACCTTGGTGGGTAGTTTTTCCTCATCCCCAGAACTGTTATGAGGAAAGCCTGGGTACTGCCAGTTTCCTGATGCCCCGTAGTTCGAATCCACAATAAAGTAAAAATAAAATCTTTAGTGTAGTTTCTTTTCCCTACCAAAACAATAATGGTACTACTACCAACCGCAAACCTCAAGCTCATTCCCAGAGCATTAAAGGAAAAAAAGAAGTAAAGGGAGTTTGAGAAACTGGATATGCTCTCTTACTCCCAAATCAGTAGTCTTACAAATCAAAACAACAACAACCAAAAAATAAAACCCCCTCAAATTCTCTTTTTAGATTCTAGAAGAATCTCTATCTTTTGTCTCTAAAAATCTCAGATCATCCAAGAAACAAGTTGATAGATGGTTTTTAAGTTAATGACTCAAAACTTCATCAACTCCCCTTTCGAGGTAATGGCCAGTGACAAAATGGATTTAAGGTTCATGTATTTCTTCAAAATTATTCAATAAAAATGAAAATTTTTTTCTGTTTTGGGAGTCTAACTACAAAATCAACAGTTCATATAATTACATGTATTTCTTAATCCACTTAAGAACTCAAAGAGTTAAAAATAATTTCTATTAATTGGTCTCTGTTTTCCAAACATTTAGATTTATCCAGAGTAAAATGACCCTGGGAATAAAAACAGAAAAGACTACCTGGGGATTCAGTCATTCTAATCAATCAAACAAATAAAACAGAAAGCTTCCCATATGATAATGTCACCGTGGGAAGGGTCATGCCCTCATGGACCGAGATACTCGGGTAGAACATTGTTCCCCTAGTACAAACTACTCATGGCTCCTGGACTAATTGGACGGTGTCAGGGCTATGTGGTGAGGATTTGCAAGTTAGAATTTTCCTGTCACCCGGCTGAAATTGTTTAGTCAAACCTTCTAAAATTCTGTTCTTCCCTAATGCTCTTACAATTCAGCAAAGGAAAAAGTAAAAAAAAAAAAAGGAGAGAGAAAGAAAGAGAGAGAACAAGACACTATTACCCAGAGCAGATTTTGTTATATAGTAAAGCCACCAGTGAGACAGCTGGGTTGATGAGGGTCTTCCGGGTTTTGGACAACCCACCCCCCGTAATGTCACAGGCTGGAGTGTTGATATTCTGGCTCCATAACCCCCTCTCTCCTCCTTGGCCAAGTTCAAACAACATCCCCAAAGTCTCAGCCAGATCCAGATCCAAATCCAAACAACAGACAAAGCTCTCCACAGGGGCAGTTCTGAACAGCATCCTGCATTCTAAGGAAGCTGCGCTGCAGCAGGACATTTTCTCCTAGAATGCTAGTTAGACTGTGCTAGAACCGAGGGAAGAAAACGCTTGCATGGCATCAAGGCTACTGGAAGAAGAGAACAACAGTGCATGGTTAAATTCAAGCAAGCACTAAATTCACAGCAAGTTTCCATCCAGGGGACACGGAGGTTGCTGCACTGTCCCTGCAGTGGCTACTGGTCCCCAGCCCCTCCAGGTCCAAAGCTGCATTCAGGCCACACTCACCTCAGACTCGGTCCTGCTCTCCAAGAAGGGAGGCCAGCCCAGTCAAAAAAGCATGCGATGGCGGGACTGGCTGTTCTTCTCCAGACAGGAAGTGCCTTCTGGTGCCTCCACCTTTTAACTGAGATGTGTCACCAATGACAATTACTGTTGTCCAGTAATTGTCCCTTAATTGTATTATTGTCATCTGCGTTTCACAAGTTCCTCAGGCGCACATCACACAGCCACACCGGTCAGCTCTACGTGGACTTACGGACTGGCCAGGCGTCTCCTGACTTTCTGTTCCCCAGATCTGAGCGGGCCTTTCTCAGTTACCCATAAACTCCGAAGACAAGCCCAAACACAGCGAAGGAACTGGGGGAAGGGGCACCGGTCCCCAGCCGGCCACTCAGACACGCGGTTTGATGTATTCATAAACCTGTTGTGCAGGTCAAAGGGAACCATCTGTGGTATGAGACAAACCAGTCTGTCCTGGTTCCTCCAGCGCTCAGGGGACCCGGGAGGATGCGGATCCCGGCTGATAAGGTCGCAGGCTGACACCCACTCGGTGGCCACGGGGCCCGCACGGAGCTGTCGCCAGCCAGGGCGACTGGGAGCGGAGGGCGACAGGCTGCCGACCCTCCTCCGGGCTTCTCCGGGGATGGGGCGCACCTCCGTGGAGAGGCCGCAGTCACCCCGCACCCAGCCCTGCTTACCTGCTCGCAGCACTGTGGGTCCGGGCGCGGATCCGGGCTCCGGGGCTCCGGGCGTAGCTGCGCCCTCGCGGCAGCGGGTTGGGCGGACTGGCCGGTGTCTGCAACCTGCAGTCGGCTGCCCCCCACCTGCGGCGCTTTTTAACCGCGCCCCACCCCGCCTCTGTCCTGACGCTCCCCGGAGCGCTGAGAGGCTAGCGCACGGTGGCCAGCAAGGGCCCGCCCCAGGGCGCGGGGCGCAGGACAGGCCTCCCTCGGTGGGGGTGGGGAGGGAAGGGACGGGAGTGAGGTGTGCAGGGTTGGGGGGTGCAAGATAAGCCTTCCTGTGGGTAGCAGGGACCGCTGGACGGTTTGGTGGGTGCACGGGGCCCAGGATGAGACCCTCCGTTTGGGGAGCCGAGTACACGGGGAAAGCAGGGCAGGACTCTCACCATCCCCTCCGTCGGGGCACAGGGGGTGTAGGGTGGGTCCTCCTTAGAGGGCGCAGGGTAGAGCGGGCCGGCCTGGTCCCTGGCGTGGGGTGGCTTGCATTTCCTGCTGAATGATTCCTCACTCAGAACCGGGTGCCGGGGGGGAGAAGGCCTGGGCGAGTGGGCCCGCCCCCTGTGGTGAGGCTTCCAACTCAGGACCCTTTGGGATCAGGGTTAAGGGCTGGCTGCGTTTTGCCAGGACACATTGTCCTTGTTTTCTGGACACTGCCACCTCTTGTAGATCTCGGGTATTCTTACAAAGCCCTCTCTGGGAGAGCAGCCTGGAGGCACAGTGACTGGTGTTTTCTCTTAATTAATAACCACTTAGAGGAGTTAAAGGGGTTATTTTTATGAGTTACCTCCATACTTTGAAGCCTCCCCCGGGGGAAGCAGAGTGGGCCTCCCTGACCAGCCACCACCAGAAGATACTTGCCCTGTCCCTTCATAGACAGGGCTCTGGTGCCTAGGGTGGGCATAGGAGCTTGCTGCAGGGGCTGGTGGGGTAGAAATGTGGGAAGCTATTTAGGGACCTGGCTTTATAGGTTCAGACCCATCCTTCTCTCACAAAATTGGTTGGTAATTAAAGGTGCCCTTTCCTAAACCATATGCTGCTTGTGAGGCCATATTGTTTCATGCAACAGGATTAGTGGCGGTTCTTAAGAAGTCTCATTAGGGTTGTGAAAGAAGACCCAAGACTTCATGAAAATCCACCTTATGAAACATTTCATTAGAGGAGAACAGGTTCTCGGCAAACTGCCTGAGTCAGGTCAGTTCAGAGCACTTTGGGGTGGCACCTGGAATGGCCTTTCACGTGGAGGTAGAGAGACACGAAAATCTGTTTTAGGCGTTTTCATAGACAGATTTACCGCCTTAGTGTGACCTGTGCCTTAACTGTTCAGCCAGCCTCAGGTTTGGCTGGTCCTCTCTGGGCCCCCTGCCCCGTGTGGCATCTTTCCTGTCTTCTCCCCATGACTTGCCCCCAAAACACTCCAGCCAGGAACATCTGTTTGCATAGCAAAATAAGATCTTTTAAAAAGCAGACTATATTTTTTTCTCTGGGGATTATAAACAGTTGGAGCATTTCTTTGCATTCCCACAGCACCAGATGAAGTGCTTTGCGCATAGTAGGTGCTGCTTCATGAGTAGTTGCATATTGATTGCAAAATCCAGCCAGCATAACAGAAAATCCTGCAACCAACTTTTGCTTCTGATGTAGGACTGTCCATGGTTTCCTGCCTACAACCGGTGCCATGTGACCCTGTTTGAGCAGTGACATTCAGGACCAATGGACCTTGTTGCAGGACTCATCCAGAAAAGAACTCTGAATCAAAGTAGCTTTTTTTCCTTGGGTGTCCAAAAAGGGAATCTTCTCAACACTGCAAAAATATCTCTTTTCCTGTTCAGGTTATCAATACTAGTCCCGTGCTGCTGGCTTCTTATTTTAGTCACATGTTTCTTAACATTTAGTCCCAATACTCATTGTTCACTTCCCGTCAGATGGTCCTGTTGCAGCAGAAATTAAATATGGACTACGTGAAACTTACTGACATGTTGAGATCATGTGAAAACTGAAAAGCTAATTAGACATTTTATGCTAGTGATATTCAAAGGCATCTAGACTGTTGACTTTGAGTGCCAGACATGAAAAAATGTTCAGGAGATGATTACTGTCCACTTACTGTCACATAATTCCCCAAACAAGACTTTGGTAGCCCTGGTTCTGATCGATGACCTAGAATTCTTTCAGTTGATATCTTCCCTCTGCATCTGAAGGATGATTCCTGAGTCCGTACATTCAATCTGCACAAAATGTGTGAAGGATGGATTTCCCATTGCCATACCAAGAGGTTTGAAGGGATGATAGTAACATTCCCTTCTGGAAATCTATAAATTCTCAGTGTCTTTACATAAAGAACGAAGGAGACTCCACCTCCTCCCCCACTGGCATGGACACACACTCACACAGTGTGACTCACAGTCCCAGATGGAAGCACAGCACAGGGATGCTTCCTTGTAACCGACATCGTCCTGGACATACGGAAAGACAGAGAACTGTGTGCTCCCTTTAAACAAAGATGAACAAATGTCTATTCGTTCAACAACAGCAAAAAGTCTGTATTGAACAGGCCTACAGGCTGGGCACGTGAAGGAGAGCATTCCTGTCCTAAGTTTTCTAGTTTGATTTTCAAATCTGTGTGCAAAGGTCCTGTGAGATGCTTTGAAAGGCTAATACAACACTACCCGAGTTGGTGGGAATCAAGTTTTGTGGGTCTGGCTTGGGGGAGCCCAGAGACTCATTTTTATCCAGCACCCTAAGCTTTGCTGATATGGGTGGTCTGAGAATCAAACTTCGAAACATGTTAGTTATAGATGTTCTTTACTTTTTAACTTTTTTTAAAGTAAAACTACATATAACCTAAACTTACCTATTTAACCATTTCAAATTCTACGCTGTACAAATGTGTTTGGTACATTCACAGTGTTGTGTAGCCATCAGCACTGTTTAGTTCTAGAACATTTTCAACACCCCAAAAGGAAGCATGGTGTCCATTAAGCAGTTACTCTCCATTTCCCAGCCCCTGGTTAACTACTGATCTGCTTTCTGCCTCTGTGGATATTTCTATAAATGGCATCATACATATGTGGCCTTTTGTGTCTGGCTCCCTTCCTTTATCATAAGGTTTTCAAAGTTCATCATCCAATGGATAGATAAACTGTCACATGTTTATACCACATCTTGCTTATCCATTCGCCTGTTGGTAGACACTTTCATAGTCATGGTTGTGACTGGTGGAGTGAAACTCATTTGACTGATGAATTCTGAGGCATGTGGCAGCTGGGATTAATGCGATATGTCCACATGGCAGGGGAGCCCAGCTGGCCTGGTTGGAGTGGAGGGCTTGCTCGGGGGAGGAGATGGGCAGAGTGGTCAGGCAGGGCCAGAGCGGAGCCGCTGTCAGTCAGGAAGAGGAATTTAGACTGGCTGAGAAACAGGGAGAGAGAGCACAACGGCACTAGGTGACTGGAATCTGGCCATTTTAATCAATCCATTGAGAGTTAGTGTGATGGGACTGCCTAGCAGCCATTGTCATTTTGGGTGCCATCAATAGAAGTTCCGTGTCTCATGAAGGCGCATGCTTCTTCTCTGCTGTTGAAGTTGCCAGGTCGAGTATAGGATGAGCTGACAGCTCTGGAGCCACTTCCCCCTGACTTTTCTAACTTTTAACTTTCTGATTATTAATTTACTATCTAAGCAGGAAACACAAACAGCAAACAGAACAGTGAGTTTCTGTCAGAGGAGGAGTGTGCTAGAGACTGAATGACCCTCAGGTGCTGTCTGGACAGGGGTTGGACTATGTGGCTTTCCTCTCCTGGGAAACTCCAATGACACAGTTACCACTGGGGAGGGGGAAAAGCTGAGTCAGACATTTGGTGGGTTTTGAGCCTGAATGACATAAAAGAATCACATCTCTCTTCCACTGTAAAAAGAGAGCAGACTTGGGAAAGAGTGATGTTTGGACATGCTGACCATGCGGTGTTGGCGAAATGTGACTGTGTGTCTAACGAACTCTTGAGTTAGGACTCCAGTCCTGTGTCTGACCCGATTTACCCCTTACTCCTGTCTATTCGGATCCTGCACTTTCCCCAGCCATGCTCAGAATCCTTTCCATCTGTCATGGACTTGCTCATCCACGAGCCTTCCCCGGTCCCTGCTTTCCCACCTTCCCTGTTCATGTGCTCCACCCCCGGTATAGTTGTATACATACTTGCTTTACCTCTCTTGCAATTATTTTCTTAATTGTCAAATCCTTTCAGGACAGAACTTACTTACCTTTGTCTCATATCATTGTCGCTCCCCCAACCTAGGACCACCACCCCATGCACAAACCACATCCTGCTTCTGTATAATTGGTGGAGAAAACCAATCGAGTCAGTACACAGTTGCTGACTGAGAGAGTGAGTTCCCTAAGAAGGATGTGGGTGGGAGAGAGGGTGGAAGTCTAAACACTGGGCCTTGCAGAAAAGAGGTATGGGGGGCAGTACTGGGGGAGAACATAGGGGAATTGTTGGGGGAGGCAAGCACAGAAGAGAGGCAGAGAGTGGTGGTGCAGCTGAGTGGGTGGGGACAGGACATCCAGAGAAACAGAGGCAGTAGAGGGAGGGAGGGAGAGAGAGAGAGAAACAGGAGATTTTAAGGAATTATCTCATAATTGCTCATTTTCTCTTTCTTTTTGCTGTGGCTGACCAATCGAAATTCTGCAGGGTTGGCCATCAGGCTGGAGACTCGGGAAAAGTTGCAGCTAGAGTCCAAAGGTCATCTGCCAGCAGAGTTCCACACCGCACCCCACCCCCGCTTTTGAGAGACATCAGTCCTTTCTCTAAAGTTTTCAACTAATGGATGAGGCCCACCCAAATTATGGAGGGTAATCTGCTTTACTCAAAGTCTACCATTTAATTGGGAGTCGCATCTAAAACATACCTTCACAGCAACAACTAGACTCATGTTTGGCTGAACATCTGGGCACCAGTCCAGCAAAGTGGGCACATAAAGTTAACCATGACTGGTGGGTTCATTCTACTTCCTAGCTGATGATTTCTACCATGTGCAAAGCTTTGGGGACCACCACAGTGGACAAGGTCACTTTTCCTTCAAGGGGCTTGCAGTGGAGCTGAGGAGCCAGTCAGTCGACAGCAAGTGCAGTGCCCGTGAGGGCCGTGAAAGTGCAACCAGAGCAAAAAGCACCACAGATCAGTCAAGGATATGAGAACAAAACAAGGGCTTCTGAATGAAGAAGAGACTTGTCAAGATCCTAATTTTGTGTATAATATTCAAATATAAATGAACTGCCACAAAATGTTAACAATTACCTATGATCAGTTTTAAGTGATACACAAGCAATTTTAATTTCCTCTAATGAATATGTGATACATTTATTGTAAGAAAAAATAAAGATGAAAGAATGAACTAGAAGAAACTAAGGATATTCGAGGTTATGACTCTTCTTCCTCTTTAAAAAAGATAGCAAAGACCAT